TTCTGGTACTCATGAAAAACAAAGCTGGGCGTGTACGTGAGAACCAAATGAACCAGTGCTGCGCTCCTGGCCCTGCTAAGGGCGATCAGTCACAGGAGCCCGGCACTATGTACTGCACTTAGACCCAGGAGCTCCATGAACCACAGGCAGAAATCACCCCCGCAAGATGGACTGTTGATCAAAAGGTTTATGCAATGCAAGAGAAAGGAAGGTGCTTTGAATGACAAAACAGGAAACTGGACTTAACATCTTAAGCCAGTATCACCAATCAGCAGATCAAGATGTGAAAATACATGGAAAATAAATATGAACAAGCTTTTAGGACAACACTGCCAAAAAATTAACCATCCAAGCAATGGTACCCATTGGTAGCCAGCCTCTGCTCTGTGCTGGGTACCGAGCAGGCTGGAAGTGCATGTCCAGGCAATTGAAGGCCTGGGAGTGTCTCTGGGCCAACCTGCTTCCCTGGGGTGGTTGCTTTGAATAGACCCTCCCTCTGTCCTGAGCTGGATGCAGCCACAGGATCTGGCCTCCTTGCTGCGGGAATGAACTTCAGTCTAATCAAGGCACTTGTCCACTTTCAGGCTTCCCTGTCCAGCCCTGGAGAGAGCAAGAGGAAGAAGCCAAGAAAGTGACCCAGTGAGGTTGGGGTGGAATTTGAGGACCCAGAGGAAGACGAAGAGGACCCATGGAGAGTTTATGTCATAAGTAATGCAGGACGGAGAGGGAAGTGGCAATGTCAGAACTGGGGTCTTAGCCGAGACAACGCATGAACTGCACTTCACAGTGTTCGTCCTCGGAGCAATTCACATGCATCCCGGCCAGGACAGATGCTGCTCCCTGCCCGGGCCAGCTGTCATCACTGTAATTCATAGTTGGAGGCTTCAGATAATTTCAAATCACTGAGCACAAGGGGCAGGCTAGGCAGTATGGGAAGATCAATGAAAATCCATTGATCAAAGTAACTGAAAATGTCTCTAATCCTTGATCGAGAATTTATAATGACATTGGCAACATTTACAATATGTCATACATTCTAATGAGTGGGTAAGACAAAATGGGATGCTGTGTATTCCTACAGTAGTTCCCAGATGGCAAGGAACAACTTCACCTAGGTTACACTGTGTGGGTTCTCCTTATGCTTGTTGCCCCAGCTTGGGCTCCATCACCAACGTGGGCTCCAGCGCCCTCTGTCCTTTCTGCTTCGGCAGGTGTGTACATCCTTCAACACCTGCCCTAACCCTGAAGCTTTCAGATGCTCCAACCTGCAGGATCCTGCCTGTCTGAAGGCTCCCTGTGTGTCTTCCTTGCCCGCTCAGCACAGCATGCTCCCCTTTGTGTTTTCTGCTGCACTCTTTCTCTCCGATTAAATTCCCAACATCTGACCACTGTCCTGTCTTTTATGCAGCAGCCCCTCCCCAAAGCACCTGCCTCTCAACATCACCAGTGCTAAGAGGGTACAAGAAGCCCAAGGCAGTATATGACAGGCCTGGTCCCCAGATTGGTGCCCTGGGAGAAGCTTTTCAGAGGTGGGGCCTAAGGAGATGTCCTGAGCCACTGGGGCTGCTCTTAAGGGGGACAGTGGGAATCCGCCTCTTTCTCCCTGTCGCCTGGCAGCCATAAGGCAAGCAATGCTCCCTGTTGTGACGGACCGCCTTACCAGGCCCCAGTGTAGCAGCAACGCTGGCCCACCATGGACTGGACCCTCTGCAACTCTGAGCCAAAACAAACTTTTTTCCTTTTAAGTTGGTTGTCAGGTAGTTTGTTACAGCAATGGAAAAACTAACTAATATGACAACAGAAAATAAGGCCTACTGACAACGGATTGTCTTGTAGAAAAGATGTCACATCATGATCCATATATTTTTGTATGACTTTTGTCTCAGTTACTTTTCTCTCACTGCTGGGACAAAATATCTGACACCCCAAATCAAGGAAGGAAAGGTTTATTTAGCTCATAGTTTGTGGACATTTCAGCCCATGATTAGCTGGCTCCAAGACAGAGCAGCTCATGGGAGAAGGAAGCAGCTCAAGGTGGCAAAAAACAGCAAGAGCAAAGGGAGCAGCACAGCAGCACTGAGGCAAGCCTCTCTTCCTTCCTTACACTGCACTCAGGCTATGCACCCCAGGGGGGTGTAGTGTTCACAGCATAATCCAGCAGCACTCACACTCCTAATCCCAGTATTGGCCCATGAATTAATCACAAACTCTGGAAGCTGCCCAATGACTGCATGAGGCTTTGGGGGGACAGCTAGACACAAACCACAACAACTTGTAAAGTCTCACACAATTGGGCAGGACAGACAAGGGCCATTAACTACGAGATCCTTCACTTTACTTTACATGAGAAAGTAAGAGTGCAGAGAGGCTAGCTCTCCCTGAAGGCCACACAGCATGAGACCCAAGGCTCGCGCTTCCTGGCCTAGCCTTCTCATTGCACAGTGGCACAGCCAGTGGGACAAGCTCAAGTCTGCACAGCCCCTGCCAGCGTGGGACTCCAGGAAGGGGGTGGAAAGATGCAACTCGCTAACGTTTGATGGCTTCTACTGCTATATACATCACGAAGGAATCAGAGAGCACGTGGTTATTTTCCCAGCAGGGTAACTCTAGTTCCTTTTTGCTAAGGTAATAGCCAAAGCTTTAACAATTTCAAAATTAAAATCCACGGCAGATAAAAGACAACTAGCCATCTCCCCCGAGATCCAAGCATCTCCAGTCATTGTGAACTCCAGCCAACTAGTTTGGAATTTCTTATGAAGAGTTTTATGCCTTCTCTTAAAGAGGTTGCTTTTGATTTATGCTGATCATCTCTGACAGCCAGCATTTCTCTTAATAATAATCATAAATAAGAGAGACAAGGTCACCTAACCTGAAATGAGCTCTTCTTCCCCACGATATCCATCACGGAGCCTTAGGTCTGCAGCGGCTGATCTGAAAGGTCTAAAGCTCGCGGCGCTCCCTCCTAAATCCCTCTCTAACACCTGCCCTGGCATTTTTATCTCACACCATTTTCCTCTGATAGCCCTGCTGCCAAAGAGACACGAGAGGACCATCATGAGGAAAGGATTCACCCCTGAGCAAGGACACAGGCGGAGCCTGCTGCCCGCTGACTGAGAATTATTGTATGCCTTTTCTTCTTTATTCATTCTAATAGCCAAGCCAATACGTGAAAGGCTTAAAAAGAGAGTCAAAGATAGTAAGAACAAAAGAGATGAGTAGACTTAAAGTGCTAAATAAATTAGAGGCTGTGATTATTCTGTAACACAAAAACACGTGACTATGCAACCAATGTCCTTTCCACGCAGGCTGTAATGACAGGGTCACCAGGCAAATCCTGGGAAAGCCAGGACATATTTCTTTGCCCACAAAGACTCTGGATGAACAAGCTTTGTAACAACTTGTAACAGGTAGTATCACATTCCAGAGCCCTTGGCCCTGACCACGGGACACAGCAGCAGTTATGTGACACCGAGAAACCTGTCACTCTTGTCCCATGTGAGCTTCTGCGCCACGGCCTGCTGCAGAGACTGGGGGTGAGCTGGGCACAGCCCGAGATGTCAGAGACTGAAATGCACCGCCAGGAGAGAAAGACATCAAGTGCTGACAGTCATAATGGTCCTGAACATGCCCAGAATGTGACAACCTCACAGCCATGTTTGGGACCTGTGATGGGGTGGGTAGATGGGGCTGACTACAGCATAACATCCGAGATGTAAAACACACAGCTGTAGTGTCCCTGAAGGTCAATTTCCTTGATTTGAGAAAGATGAATGGTTTATGGTGTGCATTGATCATGGCCCTTGTACTGGGGCCGGAACACTGAGCGCTCGTGGTCAGGATTGGTAGGAAACAGGCAAGAGAGCCCCATAATCGACCAGAAACCTCCAGTGGGGTGGGTACTGCAGAGGTTGCTGGGAGGGTGGGGTGGGGAGGCCCCACTGCTGGGCATCGCTGTAGGTTGCAATCCCATGTGCTGGTAGCCTGGACATTCTCAGGGCGGGAGCTTCTGAGAGCTCTGGGAGGGCCTGGAGCTCTGCAGAGGCCAGGGCCCCATTACCCTGCCTTCAGCCAAGGCACATAGGGGCTTGGCTAAGATTCTGATTCATTAAAAAAGTAAAATGCATGCGCTGAGGATGGAGCCGGGACCATTTGTTTACACTGATCTTAGCTAAAAGGCTGAGAAGCAACAGGGGACAAGTTGTTTAGAAGCTATTTAAGAACAGAAAAAATTCCGCACAAAATCCTCAAGTAGCTTAGGTTGTTTTGGTGCCTTTTGCCTCTGTCCCGGCCTCCTCCTCTGCTTCTGTCCTGGGCCTTGCCTACCCTATGGGCACCTCAGTCCTCTTTTCCTTCCCCATCATCCTGCAGTCATGTGCCCCTCAAACTCCACTGAACAAGCAAGGGGTACTCTACATGAGTTCTCCAGGAGCACACTGTTTAAACAGCACATGGTAGAGATGACAAAGCCCCCTCTAAAAGTAAGTGAGCCACCATGGTGGGTCTATGCTGTGGCCTCCTAGGCCTACAGCTGGTGCACAGGCAGGCAGTTTGTCAGTGTGTGGGGCAAAGGACAGCCTCCCCCATCGCACTTTCACGGGACAATGTGAACTCCATGCTATGTCTTGAGAGAAGCCCTCTGGGGCTGGGAGGCCACCACCCCACATCTGGGCTTCTGCAGCCACCAGGCCATGCAGGTTGGTGCCCTGGCTTTTAAATGCCTATAGCAGTGGTCCTAGTGTAGGTAAAGCCACCACCTGGCCACCAGGGGAACAGGACCAATGAGGAGGAGTTTGGCTCCCTCCCTACAGCCAGCAAGTGTGGAGCGGACTCCTGGCCACTCCAGGCCCCACTCTTTTGACCTGGCAGTTGTGTCCCTAGTCACAGCCTGCAGCGTGGCAGGCTACTGAGAAAGCCAGACCAGGTCTGACTGCTCCTGAGGCTGGACGCTCCCTCACACATGCCCAGGCAGGTGTCTCCTCCTGGCAGGGCCCCACACCTACCTGAATTGGACCTTTTCTTTGGGGTTTTGAGGCTCCGGCACCTCCCGCCCACTGAGCTGCTGTTCTCACTCATGGAGTCCTGTGCCGAGGATGCACTGCCTGTGGCCTCGCTGTCCCGCATCATGCTCTCATAACCACTGCTGCCACCGCTGTGGTAGAACAGAGCTGTCTTGCCCATGGCTGGCGGCAGCTCCCCGCTCAGCACGCTGCTATTGTCGCTGCCGTGGCCGCTGCTGCAGCGGTGTGGCCTCCTGGGTGGGGTGATCTTGCTGTAGGGCGAGGGCAGCAGGTGCGTGGTGGCTGCTGGCCGGTCCTCCCCGCGCTCCTCAGCCTGTGGGCCCTGTGCACCCACGGTGCCCTGCAGCAGCTCTGAGATGCGCCCATTGACTGCACGCAGCGGCAGCTTGGAACCCAGGCCTGAGCTGCGGTTCCTGCTGAGCGACTGGGTGGACCAGGACATGTGCTTCCCACTGGGCGGCATGTTGGAGCTCTGGCCCACCGACTGCGGCAGAGACTTGGTAGAGAAGCTGAGCGTCTTGGTGGTGGAGGTGGACAGGCTGCGTGCCTTGGGGCTGGCCAGGAGCAGCTTGCTCACGGCTGAGATCTTGGACTGGCTGGCCTTGGGCGAGGCCCCAGTGGACTGTGTGGTACCGCAGCTGGGTGGTGAGGCCCCAGTGCCGCGGCCCAGACTCCGTCCCGTGCGGGGCATGGTGCTATCCTTGCCCGCGTGCATCCGGGCACTCATGGAGGACAGGCTCTCGGCCCTCTCTAGCGACAGGCACTCATAGTGGCTGACTGTTGCCCTGCCAAGCGAGTTGGTCCTGCTGGCCAGCTGCTCCAGCTTGGCACTGAAGAGCTTGCTGCTGCTGCTGCTGCTGCTAGCATCCTTCATCTTGTTGCCTGGCTCATCAGGGAAGCTGGCCAAGAAAGTGGCTGGCTGGTTCGAGGGGCTGTTGGTGCTGGCACTATGCTGGGGGCTGGCCCGGTTCTTCTGGTCCAAGCTGGACTTGCGGATGGGGGGCAGAGGTGGAGTCCCTTTGGGCCGAGCCAGGACACAGTGCTTAGGTGAAGCCACCTTCCTCTCCAGAGTTGCCTTGGAGGACGAGGCACCAAAGCCGCTGGAGTCAGCTGCACAGTGGTAGAAGAGGCTGTCAGGCTCCTCATGCCTGCTGGCCTTCTGAAACGCCCTTGGAAGACTGCTGGACTTCAGGCTTTTGTTGGAATGCACTGGGCTCTGGGCGCCCAAGCCAGGTAGCACCATCTCACAGCCATCTACCACCCTCCTGAAGTTGTCAGTCACGGGGGAGGCAGATACCTCCCCACTACTGCTGCTGAGCCTGTCACCTGGGCTGGGGTTCTTCTCTGCTTCCTGATCTGCTCTGGCCTCAGGTTTCACAGGGCCTGTGGTTGTGTCACACCGAGCCCCTTCCTCACTGGGATATGCATTTTCACTTTTCACTTCTTCTTCACGTTTTAGCCAAGGGTCCTCAAATTTCATCTCTTTCTTGGTACCAGCTTCCTTATTTTCTTGGGACTGTGTGGCTTTGGGGGCTACTTTGGGGGTGGCAGTGGCCGTTTCGGGCTCCTGGACACTGCGGGGGCTCATGGCAATGCAGGGGTACACTGTGATGTTGGTTTTCATAGGGATGTAGCCCTCACAACTGCTCAGATTGGCTGTGTTGGAGATCGTGACCATGGCCTTGCCCAGGGTCGATATTTTACAGCCTTTGATGGGAGTGGCCTTGTTGAAAGGGTCATCAGCCACATCAGACAGGATGAGTAGGTTGTCAGGGCCGGCCTTGGGCTTCTCTCTGCACACCACGGTGGTATTCTGGATGCTGCCCACAAACTCCGAGGCGGGGGGATCTGCCATGGCCTCCCCATGCCCAAAACAGGTCTGGGCTATGAAACTGTGGCACGACTGCTCACCGTCACTGCCTGCGCTCATTTCGCTCAGCCAGGAGCTGATGGAGGAGCGCCTGCTGCCGGACTCCCGGGCCTTCTCCTCCAGGCTCAGCTTTGGGAGAGGCAGGAACTGCGTGATGCTCACCTCTGAGACAGGCGCCATGCTGGAGTAGCACTCCAGGTCTTCGCTGATGCTGCTGATGATGCTGACAGGCCGGGAGCCCGAGGCCAGGGCCTGCACGGAGCAGTCGCTGTTGAAGCTGATGATGCTGGTGGGGCGGCCGCTGTCCAGGACCCCGCTGATGGTCAGCTCCTCCACCAGGGTGAACACCAGCTCGTCCTCGCCATTCAGCTCCAGGGGCTGCTGCACAGTCACCATCGTGGTGCTCAGGATCTCACTTCTGGAGTCCGGTGAGGGCGATGCCTGGAGCGCATCCTCAGCAGATGTCTCCGCAAAACCCTCACTCCCTACCGACATGGATTTCTTTAAAACCTGGGGGCTCATTCCCACCGGTGGGGTGCGGACCTCAGGCTGCTGCAGGGACTCACTGGAGACCATGCTGGAGTCCTTGCTCAAGGGCGGCAGTGGGGTGGAGGATGGCAGGACCCCCTTCTGGGTGTAGACTTTGCACCTCTGTGAAGGGGAGCTGGGGGGCTTGTACTCTGAGGTCTTGGACAGGCTGGCAACACCCAGCCGTGGGGAGCCCATGGGCCTTGGCTTGCCTTCCATGAAGCCACAGGAGTTGAGGCTCTCGCGGCTGCTTTGGAGGCTGGGGCTCTGCGTGAGCTGGGAAGTGCTGTGCTGGCTGCTGCTGCCTGGGATGCTCCGAGGCGAGGCCGGGGCAGGGCTGCTGCTGCGGGCTGTGGCAAGCACCGGAGAGTGGTCCCGCTGTGCCTTGGAGGCCCGGGGCTCCGAGGTGTCCAGGTCGGCCAGCTGGCTGTCCAACCCATTGTCTTCCTTATCGGACTCAGACAGTGGGTGAGCCCCAGCAGCTTGGCTTAACAGGGGGCATCTGCTGGTCTGTTCTGCCCCAAACTGGACAGGCAGCTCTTCAAAAGGGAACTTACTGGGCTCTTCGCTGCCGTCGATGCAGTCCAGTCTCTCCTGCAGCTCGGCGAACGTGTTGCACTTCAGGCAGTCCCGCTCTGCTTTGCTGGCCGTAGCCTCTCCTGTCTCAGCAGGCCGGCTGTCACCCCTGCTCTTCTGCAGGGCTGGCACAATGGGGACAAAGTCTGGGGGACCCTCATTGTCGGTGAGCTCCTTGTCCGAGAGGGCTGTGCCGTTGGGTCCGATGTAGATGACTGTGTCACAGGACTGCTCGCTGCTGGAGGAGTAGTCGGGGTCACTGGACAGGTGAGCAATGGGGAAGTCGGGCTCCACCGTGGCCCTGGTGTGGAAGGGTCTCAGCTGCGTAGGCCTGCGCATTCTGCCTTCTTCGCAGGAGCTTTCTCCGCCAGAGGAGCTGGACGTGTACTGTGAGAGAGAGAGGACAGTTACTGTGGTGGCGCTACAGGCAGCCCTCCCACACAGCAAGGGCACGAGTCACTGAAGGTCACCCTGTTGGGCGACCCTACACAGGGCCCACTAGTCAGTGTGGACTCAGAGGTCGCTCAGGAGAGGGGGTGACCAGGGCAGGTCATGTGTGACCTCCTCAATGCTGTTCCTAGGTCACAGAACACTGCCTGCAAAGCCCTGTCCTATACCAAAACAGAAAAAAAGTACCCAAAAGAGAAGGAAAAATAACAAAAGAGCCCCAGTATTACCACTTAGACCTGGATTTGGACAGCTACAACCACTGTGGTTTTGTCTAACATTCTCACCACGCTACCAACGCCAGAGGAGACAAGTGTGCTGCTAGCTAGCACACTCAGTGTCCATCCGAAGCCACTGAACTCACAGGACAAGGCTTCCAGGCAGAAAGAGACTCTGGGGCATGCAGTGAAAAGCCAGACTGTACGAGCTAGGAGTTAAAAACCTCCCTGTGGTCAAGCTGTTGGAGAAGGCTCTCAGCATCTACCTGTGACACAGGTGGGCCAGGGGTCAAAAGATGTGTATGGTCCAGCCTGCCAACATTTTTCATCCCAAAGTAGCAATCCATCTGCATTGTGTAAGGCGCACCAAGTGCTTCCTGCCAGGGCTGCGCTGGCTGAGCAGGGACAGCAGCAGCCACAAGGAAGGGACCCGTCAGTGGGGACACCTCCCCACCCCAAGGATGCGGTGACTACCATACTTGCACATGTCCTGTGCTCAGGGAGCAGCAAGATCGACTTGGCCTCCTGACTTAGTCCCAGGGCAGGCCTCCTGTGGCACCCCTGCCAGCCCCTTACCTTTGTCTTCTTTTTCTTCATCCTTAAGACCCTCGATGCAATCTGGAGGGTGGACAGGGTTTCTGCATAGCTCCCGGCCGCGGCGGAGATGTGAGCGATCATGGTGGTGCGACAGTTCACATTCCCCAGAGACTCGCGCAGCAGCATGGTGAGCTTGCTCTCTCTGCCAAACAAAGTGAATTAGGGCTGCATTAGCGGGCCATGCTTCACGCTGGCTGTCAGGGTGGGACTGCAGGTCTGTCCGTGGCGATTTTGTTGTGGGTGTTGGGGTTCCCCCCACCTTTTTTTAATGGAATACTAATTAGCATCGTTTTCCAGCACGGGGCTATTTGTCATTGGCAGCTGAGCAAGTGCTCCAACGACGGAATTCATGCAAGCACCTCCCCTGGCACTTGCATGCTGGCCGTGATGGGACATTCCTGTGTGACTGCGTGTGCATCTGATGCCACACATCATGAGGCTGGGGACAGAAATGAGAAGACGGGATCAGGAGAATACGGCTTTGCGGCCAGTGGCCCAGCCTGCTACCCCCACACCAGTCCTTTGCTGCAAGTCTGTGCACACAGGCAGTGCCCGCAATGACAAGCAGTCTGCCAGCTGCGACCTGTACCAAAGACCTTTGAGTGCACAAGACAATCAAGGATTTTATACAAGGAGGTGCACTTGCTTTACTGCCATCGTCTCTTCACGCTCATATTGGCATTGAGGAAAAGGCATTCCTATTCCTAAGTGAAGAAACAGATATGGCCCAAACACTCAGGAACAGAAAGCAGAACTTTCTAGAAAGGCTTCTGCTAGCATCTTTGCAGGTGCTGTGTGGTTCCAGTGTTGCAAGTGGTGGTAATCAGGCCCAGGCGTTTACAGATGGTGCTCCGTGAACCACCTGGAGGAACGCATTTCCATCCCACACTGTCCCACTGGTTTTCCTCCTTTGTTTTACAAAGGCCTCTGCTCACTGTGCCAGTGGCGGCGAGCCATCAGCGGCCGCAACGTGTCTTCTCTTGGGAGCACACTCTGATCCCAAGGGTGGAGGTTGCCCGTGGGCTTCTCCCGCCTGTGTTCGCGTCCCTCTGCCAGGTCTGTAACGCTGGATGAGAGCAGTTGGCCCCTGTGTCCTTTCCCCTGTGGGGCCCCCTGGAGAGGGACTGTCCAGCTCAGTGGACTCTGGGAGACACAGCCACCAGGAGCAGAGAATGGGCTGTTTCCCACATCACCCGCATCTGGCTTGGGGCGGAGAGGCTGCTGCATTTGTGTTTTTCTTCCATCTGGGACCAATTAAGGTGTCCATTCAGGGACGCTGGGCTCACTGATGGCTCAGTTCCAGGGCCATTTATAAATATACCAGGGCTCCCTTTCAGCAAAGTGATCAGCAATGCAAGCGGTGGCGGGCTCCGTAGGGGAGCGGAGCGTCAGCACACACTTGCTTCCATCAAGACCGAGGGAGCAGGGATGTCACGGACACCTGTGCTGCATGGGGAGGTCAAGTTCTGCCATGTAGGCACTCAGCAGAGCCCTATGCCCACACCTCGAGTTCGGTGTGGGAAGTGAGGATGGCGTGTGGGGCTTAGGCTCTGATCGGATTCCGCTGAGCCTTAGTGTCATAGGAGTAATGTTGTTCTCAATTCCTGCACACCTTGGATGAGTGAATAGAGCCATGGAGCTGAGGGGAACCATAGTATTTGGGTTCCAATGAAAATCTGGTCATGACAGTTTTGTCAACTAGTCAGGAAACGACCTTGTTTTATGTGTGTATCTGCGGGAAGCCACATTATTTAATAACAGCTTTTTGTACGCTACAAAACACATGCAGTGTTTCTTTATAATAAAGCAGAAGTAAGGAGGAGTTTACTAATTTCCTGAGCCTTAGTAATGTGACCGTACACTTCTTTGGCTTTGAGCCTCACAGCACCATCCAGCATGCTTTTTTTCTCTTTAATTGTCCACCATCTTATGAACTTACAGATTCAGCCATTTAAAAATAGTTTCCTAAAGACTCATCATGGATTTATGGCTTACTACTTTAGTACTTTCTGAAGTGGCCTTACACTGGAGGGGCCTGATATACAATGGAGTATTTTCTCTTTCTTTTTCTGGATGCATATTACTACTACTACTACTACTACTACTACTACTACTACTACTACTATTTATTTTTCTCTTTGATACTGGGGATTGAACCTACAGCCTTCACACTAAGATAGCTAGATCCCCAGCCCTTTTATTTATTTGTTTATTCATTTTTATTTTGAGACAGGGCCTTACTAAGTTACTAAGTTCTCCAGGCTGGGCTCAAACTTGTGATCCTCCTGTCTCAGCCTCCAAGTGCTGGAATTACAGGTGTGCACCACCACACTCTGGCTTGTTCCATAGCACTGATTCATTAACATTGAACTCCTGCCCAATAGCACTGTAACTCAAGCCTGCATTTTCTCCAAAAGGCACATCATAGCCTTCTTCTGCTTAGTATATTAGATGGCACTGCAGCACTGTGCTGAAGGATCATTGTAAATAATGAGATCACCAGTGAAAAGCACCAAATAGAAAAAAAAATACAGCATTATGAAGCATGCTTGTTTACAGTACAAGAGTAAGAAGGCAGAGTGCCACCCTGTTCCATTTTAGCTGGGAAAACATGTGTCTACTCAAAGTTTTCACACCCCAAGCGTGTCCTTAAGTGACTGAAAGTGTCATGGACATTGATCTGGGGGACTGCAAAGACTTTTATAGTAAATAGGCTGGCTACAAGTACGGAACCTGCAAATCACAACAATGGACTCATGATAAGCCTCAATGACCAGCCACACCCGGCCAACAGCATGCTTCTCTATTTCTCCCCTTGACCTTGCGTGAGTTCTAGGAAAAGATTCCAATATTGAGCAAGAGGATCTAATGCTATATCAACCTGCTGGCCCTGTGTATTCCACATGATCCCACTCATGTTAACCACATAAATAAATGTTTGTTGTTTGTTTAAAAACCCACATGTTGTGTGCACTGTTTGGCAGTTCACATCTTTACTCTCCTCCCCCCAAAAAAGCAAGTGAAATGCTAACCAGACTTTCATATGGGCCCCTGGAGATGCCAAAATACATCCTTGGGTCAGTAAAATATGGCAGAGAACAGTGGTTTTCAGCCTCGTGGTGATGGTTTCTTTACCTTGGATCAAAGATAATTGAGGGAGGGCAGATGAAGGAATGAACTGCTGATTACAGGCTGAACTCAGTGCTTGACAGGAAGTTCCGTTTCTAGGGCAGTAGTCAACACAAATTCAGTTCACTGCCTTGAATCAAGACTGAACTCAGAGGAAGAGAAGAGAGAGCACAGAGTGGCTGGCCGGTCACTTTGGCACCAGAGCCAGGCTGGCTGGGGATCCTGAGGGAGGGGCCCTGGCTGTGGGGCAGGTTGGCTGGGAGCAGGAAGGGGCTGGTGACAGGGTGGACATGACTGCCTTCTAGGAAAGGACCACGTTGCTTTTTCAGGTGGCCACGTTTCATGGGCATACCTGCTTCCTTCCCTCCCTGACCAACAAACCTTTTTAAGTGATTAAGGAAAAAAAACCCCACCTCATTTAGAAAAAAAAAAGTCATTCCATTTTTTAGACATATCAAAAAAGTAGAAAAAGAACAGGATAACACACACATATTAATGATAATAATTTTGAATATACTCATTAAATACCATAAACATGTACTTATAAAAGTAAAAAAAAACTAATAGCTTTAAAAGAACTGAAAAGGATGTGTAGCATTTTATAACAGGGGCTGACAAACAAAGGCCATGCAGATCAAATCTGTTCTATTGTTTGCTTTTATAAATAAAGTTTTATTTAAACACAGACACATCTATTTATTTACATGTCATATGTAGATACCTTTGTGCTACAAGAGTTGGTCAGTTGTATCAAAGCCTGTGGAACCAAAAGTACTTGGTGCTTTACAAAAAAGCTTGCTGGATTCTGCTCCAGAGTATTCTAATTAGAGCGTATTCTAATCAGAGTATTCTAATCAGACACTGAATGATCGGCTACAAATCAAGATCCTTACCACTCAGTCATCTCGACTTAATAGATGTCTGCATTGTCTTTTAGTTCAGATATTTCATGCAAGAATAGAAAAAGTCAATTCCATGGAAATAGGCAAGGAGGAACAAATGCTTGGCTTTAGAAATTACTGGAGGGCCAGGCCACATCAATTGGTGACTGCTCAAATCACTTCCTACCACATCCAGAAGCATCTGTCCTTCCATAGGGCTGTTGGGCTGCTCCTGCTCATTTGCTTAATGAGCTCATTAGCGTACACAGCTCTTCCTTCTAGAAGCACGTATGGAGCACCAGCCCAGCTAAGAGAGATTAGACTGTCCTCAAGGAGCTTGCTTTCCAGCGGGAGAAGCACACATGCACAAAGTCATCGCACTGTCACCTGACAAAAGCTGATGATGGGTAGCAGAAGCAAGATGGCTGATGAGAAGCCCTAGTACTCCTCCCACTCCCAAAGACAGGCCCAAATCACAAATAAACAACTACATTTTGGTGAAAATAACTAAAGGAGAGTGCCAGAGTACATCAAGGAGAGGCAGATGGAATGTGTTCTGCCCTGGGGGCCATTGCACACTTCTATCGCCATCTTTGTCACTTCTGTACTATCCCCACTTGGTGGCCTCCCATCCCCAAGCCCAACTGCTGCTCTAGCCTACCTCGCAGGGCCAAGCTGTCACAGAGCGGCTCCACCCACTCTGCCGGTCTCTGCTGTGCCCTGTTCCTCGGGCCTGAGCTCATGCCAAAACCTGCCCCCCAGAACCAAAACTGAAGCAGCGATATGCTTCCCAGCACCACTCCCTGCTTTGACACCCCTAGCCCCAGGCAGTAATGCTCCCCAGCACTGCAGCTCACCCCACTTGGCAGAGAACTGGTGTCTGATCGGAGCCAAGCAGCCACACCTCCTAGGAAGGTGAGCACCAGGTGAGGTGGGCCATCCCCCTGAGCTGCTGGGAAGTGGGTGGGACCCCTGAGGTCCGGGCAGCTGAGGCCCACACCCTGGCATGGTGGGCAGCGGAGTCCTCACAGTTCGCTTCTATCACTCTTCTTAGGTCCTTGCTGCCTAGAGGATACTGCTAATGTCCCACTATTCCAGGGTCTAGGGACCCCACTATGTGGTTCTCGTCCTC